TAAAAAAAAAGAGCTGGCATGTAATCACTGACTCAAGAGGCGCTTAAACTGTACAATCACAGTTCTTTGAAATGATGCCTCAGAGCAGAGCTGCCTTTTAAAGCAAAGGAACTGGACCTGAAGTCTGAGTCATGCTAAAGTGAGGACAAATCTAGCACATAACCTTCTGTGGCTCATATTTTCCTGCCCTCAGTGGCACAGAGCAGGCTGTTTGGAGATTTTGTATACCATAGCTTATGGGCCAAACTCCTCTCTCACACTGGGACAATCTCTTGGGAAGAGAGTTTAGTCTGGCATCCACCTTTAGTCGTGTGGATTTGAAAACTATTTTTTTTTCCATTAAATAAAGTAGCAGTTCCATTTGGAGAAGGAAAGCCTGACTGTAAGCCAAGGTTGAACAGCATGTGCTCTGATACTGTACAGGCGCTGTAAGGAGTGTACACCTGCCCTACTCATTCATCTACTCCTGGACTTGCAGCAGAGGGAGGAGGGAGGCTATAGGAGACCACGGAAGTGCAGCAGCTTGGCTGGAGGCACAGGGCCATTTCTCCTTGCAGCCTCAGCTAGGAATTCATTTCCAAGGCAAGATCTGCTTAACACCCATCGGGGTGCTCACTGGTTCCCTGGCGAGGAGTCTGGGGATGGAGCTGTAAAGCTGTTTATGGAGGAAAAGGTGTACCCAAGGGCTTGGTTGGCTTCCACTCCATGTATTGTAGGTCAGTCCTTTGAGCTGCCTGCTCTCCCTTTTGCTAAGATAACAGGTTACTTAGAGGGAGAAGTTGGACTAGATGATCATTGTAGGTCCCTTCCAACTGAAATAGTCTATTCTCTTCTATTCTATCCTATCCTATTAAGAGCAGATGCAGGTTTAATCTTAGGAAAAGAAATGCTCTTAGAAAATGACATTTGCCTTGTTCCTCCTCCCATCCCCCAGGCTCCAGATCTGGGGTAGTTTAGCAGATAGAATTCTCCTCCTAAACAGCCCATTCTGCTTTCCCCTCCCTGTTTCCCCACTCTGAAGAAGCTCTATACAGCTCAACAGGGCTTAGAGCATGAATAGCACATGACATAGGGAGGTAGGAAATTTTCATTCTTCTCCATAGGAAAAAACAATGAATAACATTCCTCTCCACACATTTTTCAGGCACTTCAAAGGCAAGTTCAATGTGCAGTGACGTTTCCCGAGCAGCGCCAAAACCCATCCACTGCGAGGGGGACAGCTGCTGTGTTAGCATTCCCCTTGAGACTGGCTTGCAGGGCTCACAGACCAAATGCAGGGCCCAGCCTAAAAGAAAGGGCAGGATGGAGGAGCTGGAGGGAGAAATCACTGGGCAGCTTCTTTACTGAAGAGGTCTGTGGCAGGCAGGTGGTAACTCACAGCAGCATCAAAAGGGAGAAGGCTGGGGTTAACCCTGATGCCAAAGCACTGTGTTCTCAGAGTGTCCAGCTGGGTAATTCCAGTGTCTGGAGGAATCTAGGGAAACCTTCCCCTACAGTTCAGTTGATCCTTTCTGAAAACCAGGTAGCCCTTCCGCTATCTCTGGTCATGTCAAGTTCATTACACCAACAAGTCATTCAGAAGCTTGGGAAGCACTGTGGGCTGGAGGCCCTATTGCTTCAACCCTCACCAGGACAGGGGTAATGCCTAGAGGACTGAGAAGTACCCTGGTGTGAGCAGCCATGTAAGTCTCAGGGCTTTGCTCATTTGGATTTCTTCAAAGAATAGGAAATCACTGTGTTCATCCTGTCTTCCTAGCATGGATCTGCTTTGCTTCATGTATTGGGTTTGCATGGCAAGGTTTTGGGAGTGGGGGCGCTACAGGGGTGGCTTCTGTGAGAAGCTGCTGGAAGCTTCCCCTATGTCCAATAGAGCCAATGCCAGCCGGCTCCAAGACAGACCCACCGCTGGCCAAGGCCGAGCCAGTCAGCGACAGTGGTAGCACCTCTGGGATAACGTAGTTAAGAAGGGGGAAAAAAAAAAATGCCGGGACACAAACTGCAGCTGGAGTGAGGAGTGAGAATATGTGAGAGGAACGACTCTGCAGACACCAAGGTCAGTGAAGAAGGAGGGGGAGGAGGTGCTCCAGGCACCAGAGCAGAGATTCCCCTGCAGCCCCTGGTGAAGCCCATGGTGAGGCAGGCTGTGCCCCTGCAGCCCATGGAGGTCCATGGTGGAGCAAATATCCACCTGCAGCCCATGGAGGACCCCATGCCGGAGCAGGTGGATGTGCCCAAAGGAGGCTGTGACCCCGTGGGAAGCCCGTGCTGGAGCAGGTTTGCTGGCAGGACTTGTGACCCCGCGGGGGACCCACGCTGGAGCAGTCTGCTCCTGAAGGACTGCTCCCTGTGGAAGGGACCCACACTGGAGCAGTTTGTGAAGAACTGTAGCCCCTGGGAAGGGCCCATGTTGGAGAAGTTCATGGAGGACTGTCTCCCGTGGGTGGCACCCCAAGCTGGAGCAGGGGAAGGGTGTGAGGAGTCCTCCCCTGAGGAGGAAGGAGCAGCAGAGGCAACGCGTGATGAACTGACCACAACCCCCATTCCCTGTCCCCCTGCGCTGCTCGGGGGGAGGAGGTAGAGAAAATTGGGAGTGAAGTTGAACCTGGGAAGAAGGAAGGGGTGGGGGGAAGGTGTTTTAAGATTTGGTTTTGTTTCTCATTACCCTGCTCTGATTTGACTGCTAATAAATTAAACTGATTTTCCCCCCAGTCGAGTCTGTTTTGCCCCTGATGGTAGTTGCTGAGTGATCTCCCTGTCCTTATCTCGACCCACGAGCTTTTTCATTATATTTTCTCTCCCCTGTCCAGTTGATATGGGGAGTGACAGAGTGGCTTTGGTGGGCACTTGGCATCCAGCCAGGGTCAACCCACCACACTTCACCATCAGAGAACCAACAGAGCCACATTAGCACTCTGCAGATGTCAGTGACTTCAGTGGTGCCAACCTACTATGAGTAAAACCTAGTGTTTTTAGCTGCACATGCAGCTCTATGCTACTGAGATTCAACGAACTCAAGACTAATCCTCAGGCACATGTAAGGGGGATAAGGATATGCTGCCTCACCAAAGGAAAGCAAGGTCAGGACCTCATCAGTGACAACACAGGATTTCATTTCAAGCTGCATGCCCTTTAGGATGTTTGAAATATCCAGCTCTGGGAGTCAAGTGATTATGTGTGATGCTGAACTTTTTAAAATGTTGCTAACTGTGAAAGAAAAAAGTGAAACTATCTCTCAGTGGCTCAAAGTCCATAAGAGAATTAAAAATTATGATCACTTCAAAAAAAAAGGAAGTAAAGAGAGAAAGGAAAGTAGGAGTCTCAATATTTTAGCCCACATACTTTTTGGCACCTGATTCATGACTTTTTAACACTTAGATCTGGCTATATGCTGGGCTGTTTACCTCATCACTGTCTGAATCCTCCGACTGCACTCCAGGGCCAGCGTCTCTTTCTGACGTGTCTCCATGAACTTCTGGGCATGTTTCAGCAGTGACTTGCTGGGTGGGAACAGGCCAGTGCAGAGCCAAAGTAGCTGCCAGCCCTTGGTCACGCTGTACCTGTGAACACAAAGCAAACGGTTCTGCTATAGCCACATGTAATTCTTTGTTTGACCATACACCAGCCACAGGGAAGAGAAACACACTCCCATCATGGTATGTTGTGCCGTTCTGCAGAGACCTGCAAATCAACAGAGCCTTCACAGAATCTGGCAGCCATTTTCTGAGCAATGACTACAGCCTGTATGCGAAGACAATGCTAAATCCTGGCTGATAAATATTCATGACAGTTGCAAATCTCATGAATAAATATAAGCTCCAGTTTAACAGTCATCTTGGCAGCAGTGACCCTTGTGCCATCCTCTTGGAAAGCCACTGTCAATTTGCTGTTCAAGCTCACATGTATTTGGATTGTACTTTATCAGCTGTTTGTATTCACCTGCCCTCTGTGCTAGCCAGTGTTGCTCAGAGCACAAGCACTTTGCTTGCAATTGACTTTCCCTTACACACGCTCCTGCTCTGAAAAATGAGCAGGTAGATGGCATTGTTTAATGACGTTATTACAGTTCTTCAAAATTCCAGATCAAGTTTGTACAATTTTCAGGCAGAAAGCCAGTACTTCCGGCCTCTGGACCTGTGAAATCTGCCATTGAAGCTCTTCTAGCATCTCACCCTCACCAGTAAGAAAGGCTCTGCAGCCAGGAGGTGGTCAGTCATTCTACCTTCAAAGCCAGGAGCAGAACACACTTCAGCTGTGTCCCAGGGATTGCTCTGAAATGCTAAATGGTGTGAAGTGGTTTTGATTAGGAAAGCCAAGAGGTCTATCCTTGAATGGGCACCAGACTCTGCTGAATAAAGAGGTGCTGGCTTCTTTATTCCCATTTACTTTTCTGATTTTGCAGACGAAGACACACTATTTTAATCCCACTTACACTCTATAGATCAGTGGTGCTTGTGTAAGTGTGAGAGCATGACATGGTCCACAGGGCAGTAGCCTGGGAAGGATGAAAGATTTATTGCTCTGGCTATTCTAATGAAAATATATGGAAATAGCCACCTTTCAAGCATTGTTTTTTCCACATCAGTGATCCCTCTCAAAACAGTGAATGACCCACAGGACTAAATTGGTAGAGAATATCAGGCATGGTACTGGCACCATGGCTACAGACTACGTGTTAAATAGCCTGTAAGATTTACTGCAGGCAAGGAAATTCACCATTTAATAGTTACACGCATGGTAAAAGTTCCACTAAGTTTAATATTTGTGGAACAGTAAGAAAGAAAATAAACAAATAGAAGTACCTTCTCTAACTTCTGCAGTGACAAACAGACAATCCATTTTGTTAATAATTAGTATTATTTTATGCTGCTTTTTGCAATTCAGTTCCCCTGGAAGTAGGTCAAATTATACTTTTTATGAGTGGGGAAGCAAACATCAGCCTATTTCAGAGACTTATGCATGGGCAGGGGCCTGTGTAACCAGTGCATTCTGCAAGCCAGTTGTGTAACCTAATTAATGTAACTACTCAAAAGGATTCACTGGTAGTAAAAGGTCTAGCATGAACCATGTGCTTATAGGAGGGAAATACTATCATTGGGAAACTTAAAACAAATGCAGGGCTGGCAGTGCAGCCACTGAAAGCATGCAAGAACTCTATGCAGTGCCATATTTTCTCCACAGACTGCCTTGGGACTAAGAGGGCTTCAGTAACACCTTGCCTGCCTCACACCATACTGCACAGAGACGAGTACTGAATGCTGATGGGAGCAAAGCAGCAGCTCAAGGGAGACGAGTAACCATCCTATTCTATGGCCTATCACGGCCAGTCAGCGGTCCTGACGGCTCTGCAAAGGTGAGCCCCACAGCACTGCCTGGAAAAAGGGGGAAGGGAACGTCTCACTCCAACATTTGGCCATCCTTCCCCTCTGCTCCCACCCCATCATAGGTGTAGCAGCGATTCCTGCTCACAACCTGAACTTGAGCCCTGGCTCTGCAGAAGCAGGGTGTTTGCACCCAGGTGAGTACCTGTTTCTGTTCTCAGTCAGTTGCTTCATAATCTGACAGTAAATCTCATCCCGCAGGACCTCCTCCTGGATAGCTGCTACAAATATCTGGTCAGTGACTTCCACAGAGGAGTGTGCCTGTTTTGAGGGATAGTCTCCCATGAATTTCATGATGGGTGAATGTGCTGTTAAGGACAAAAGCAGGCCAATTTTAGGAAGGTAAATGGGAAGTCTCACCTGGATCATAACATGTTAGTGACTCTATTGATGCCTAAGTGGCAAATACTGTGAGGAGGGTCTGGAACATATTCCCTACCTGTCCCCTACTCCCTTACCCTGTGCAGCAGTCACTGCTTGGCTGTGATTTGTACTGTATTAGCTGCTTGCTCTGGGCATATGCAGTAAATCTCACTCACTCCTAAAGCCACATTCTCAGTTAAGTGAGCCGTCAGGAGCTGTGGAGCACTGGGGGGGAATAGAATCATAGAATCATAGAATGCTTTGGGTTGGAAGGGACCTTGAGAGATCATCGAGCCCAACCCCCCTGCAGTAAGCAGGGATTGAACCTGTGAACTTGGCGTTATTAGCACCATGTTCTAACCAACTGAGCTAACCCGTCTGGTCTAATAGGAACCTTTCCTCTGTAGACAAAGGAAACAATGCTAAGTTGTGCAGGATTGATACCCCCCACCTTGATGTAAATGTGTCCCCTGGAATGTAGATGCAGTATTATCTCAATGGAGGTGAGTTTAGTGGAGGTAGCTAGCTCTTCCTTCCCTGAGTGTTCTCAGATCCCAAAGAGAAGAGTGAAAGGATATCAATGAAGGCCTGACATGCCAAGTCCCGAAGATCAGGGTCTGTGCATGCTGTCTTCAGCAAGGGCTGTTTCAAGGGCTCCTTAGAGTGTGCCCACAGTTGACTGTGCTTGCGGGATTTCTGGAGAACAGCTTTGCTGATGGATTCCTTCTCAGGAGTCCTGAATGAAAACAAGTGCAGGCAATACAAAATTACTAGATCAGTATTGCTATGAACATAGGAGGTCATTATCACAGAGACTTATCTCTACGCCTGTTCTTTCCCAAGACAGTGATCTCATATCTCCTTTGATTGTGCAGGTTGACAAGAACAGGAAAATAAATATTCTTTTAGATCCAGAATGGAGAAGGCTTGCAAAAGGAGAGGTTTTAGAAGACTAATTTTTCCTTTACTCTCTGAGGCCTGAGATGTTGTGTACCCTGGCTAGTTGGTAAGTGCTGAAGAAGGGGTGAGAAGTAAGAATAGGGCCTGCTGGAAAGAAAAGAAAAAAGTCCAGCTGGGGTTCTTCTACCCTTCCCTTTGCATTTCTGCAGACAAAAGATACAAGCAGGCCATGTGCCAGAATCTCTGCATGTCCAAAGTCACACTTCATTACAGGGAACAAAGAGAAGAAACCCAATGAGAAATGGGAGATGCTGTTACATCCTAGGCTTTAAGGATCACAAAAGATCAACTGGAACTTTCATAGGGTGCACACTATACAGAGAGCTTCACCTGAAGTGTTCATAGGAGAACTCCTCCAGCGTGTAAGGCTTCACTTTGAGATCCTCTTCATCAGGTTCATCCATGTAGGAGTTCTGTGAAGCTGTCCTTCTCTGGTCTGGAGACATCATCAGCAAACTCTGGAATGACACAGCCATGTAGAGATGTCACATGGACACAGGTCTCTGCACATATTGTCAGGTGTTACTCAGCATATATGCACAGAGGGTGTATACTAAACTTGAGTGCTCTGTGCTGCAGGAGACCTTCAGTCCCCTAAGCAGCATCTTCAGAGACTCAGGAAATACTTGGGAATAGTTGACTCAAGGAAGTAATTTCCATAGACCCAACAGTAGTGACCATCAAAATATGTATGATTATCCAAAGCACAACACTTGTTAAAAATGCACCTGCTTATCACTGGTGTGTTTTTCCCTCACTTTTTCAGCTTTTTACATGTTAGCACAGTATCCAATATACTGAGTCTCCAAAACTAAAGATAAAATTGTTAGCAGAGTGATCAATGGGAAACCTTGACTCCCTCAAGGAGCATATTCTTTTGAAGTAACCTGCTGCACTTAGAGCTTCCCTTGAGAGGTAATGTATGATCACCAATCAAGCCCAGTGTGAATGCAGAAAAATTCAACAGCACACCCATTTCCATTAATTGCTACCAATTCCAGGCACTGAAATTGCTAATGGTGAACGGACTGTTTTTTTGAAAGTCATTGCTTTTGTGCAACTGCAATCTTCTCCTTAGAGTTTGGGCTAGGTTTAGTTTTGTTTTCAGCCAGGACAGCATGAAATGCTTGACTTCAATGGCAGGTATAGAACTTGTCTAACTTTGGAGGAACCATTAACTTCCAGTTAAAAATTTAATCATATTTAACACTGTTATTATCATTTATCTTCCAGTCTCTTCAAAGAGAGTGCTCAGCTTTTCTTACCAGCACTTGACTAGAGGGTTTTGTGAGAGAAGGAATGATGTAGATCTCTTCCAAAAATACATTCCCTGTTTTGCCTGTCCTTTCATTCTGGGCACAGATCCAGCCAGAGTTTGCATCAAGCCTTTTGTCTTCGGTGAAGATTAGCAAGTCTCCCTTCTTGAAGGACAAGATGGCAGGGTCTTCTGGAAAACAGAATAAGGGAGTACTGTTCAGGCTTGACAGTCCAAGAAAATGCAAAGGGATTGCAATGTGAAAGACAAGGGAATTGTATTTTGAAGGCCTGAATTCAATTAGCAATAGAAAGTGATTTGTGTAAATACAGCTAATTATCCAGTAACACTTCAGAGAAACCACTTAAATTTCCTCTGACAGCCTGATTTTGATCCACTGAGAGCAATGGCAAACTCCATTTGATTTAAATGGACACTGACTTTGTGTCTGGAACTGGCAGCAAAGCATGGAAAGAAACTCGATAGTTGTAAGCAGGTGAAGTTAATGCTTACATTTTAATCCTCTCTTGTCTGTTCCAGCCAACTATATTCCACAGAAAATTCCAGTTTACCACCTCTGTGAAATTTTTCTGGAAAGTATTTCCAGGGAGCCCAAATCCAACTTCCTACTATAAGCAGGCTGAGTTGTTGGACACTGTACTATCTAAATAAAATATGCAAAGAAGTAGAAGGAAGAAGGAAAGGTTATTTGTATGCAAAGGTATTGAATCACATTGTCTTATGCTCTGTATTGCCATGCTGATCACTATGCATCCTTTCTGGAGCAAAGGGACTCTTGCTGAAGTTCTCCCTCTTCTCTTTGAGTTCTTTCAAACAAGTGCTGTGGGTTCTCTCACGATTTCTTCCCTACCATGTGGAAAAGTTGTAAGACTTACCTTGGGATTTTTTCTCATGCATTGCCACAGCGAATCGTGATCTCTTCTTCAGTCCTTCCAGGAACATGACCACCAGTTCAGCAATGACAACACTGTTTACAGATGTAAGCACAAACTCCTCGGCACGAAGTGTGATGAGAGTGCAACTCTGTCCAAATGACTTCACTGCCCTATGTATTATTGAACAGTGCATTATGAAAGCATCTGAAAAACTTACAAACCCATCTGCAATCACAGCCAAGGCACCTACACCTCCTTGCAGACAACTCCCTTACAGTGAATATTGGTAGTTCTTAATTTGCTTTCTCATGAGTTGGTAGGGGTGAAGGACTGAAGTGGTTCAGGTTCACTCTGGACTCCACCATGTTTTGTACAAAAGTGCTTCATTATAGACAAAAGAACACCCTTCTTTTGGAGTAACTGGGCAACTAATTAAATCTGTGACAGTCCTCACAGAGGTATTTTTTGTATGTAAGACTCTATTCTCTGAGTGATCTGATGCAAGGCTGTGTGCCCTGAGCAAGCCAATGGTAACCCTCGTTCCCTCAGTTATCTTGTTCAGGTCCATCACACCTGAGAAGCATATGAACGCCCAGCGTGCATAACAGACAATGGCTTAACTATATTAGTTATTTGGGCCATTTTTGTCTTGGTACATGTGTGTGCTTCCTTACACCTTTCTACTGAGCAGGATCATCTTTCCTTCTACCAGCTGGGAAGATTCAGCCATTTCAGTGCTTCCTTTACAGGCTGCTCAGAACTTGTCCCTTTCTATTTCCCAGACCTAGGGTAAACCACCTTTCCAGGCTCAGATCAAATCACCTAGGGGGATGGCAGAGAAAGTACACCTCCCTCCTACATGGAAGACCCTTTGTAAGTATGGGCAGAGATGCCTTCTTCAGATCTTGTCTTTCTGGGGAACTCACCTGTTGGTGTGGATGCCAGTTATCTCTGGGAAGGTCAGCTCAAGGAGCCGCTTTTCTGACTCATCCAAGAAGCAGATACCTTTCCAATTTACAGCAATGATAAAGTGGTTCTTGGGCAAGCTGGGACCTGAAAATGCAGAATAAACTCCTTCTCAATGCTATACAAGTCCTCCTCTATTGATCTTATATCTGTCCTCTACTCCCAGGCTCCAGGTATTACCTGAAAACTTAGTGACTTCAAAGAATCGGGAAAAAAGCAAAGGCCACTGAAAGCGAGCAAAATCTACAAGTTGTTCCTTCACAGTCTGACAGGAGACACGGTCCTGTGTGTATGGGGCCTGCAGTATAAAAAGATACCCAAGGTTTTCTCAGTAAAATCTGGTTTGCATGATTTGCAGACAGTAAAGAGCAGGCCTGATCCCAGAGGTTCCTAACAGCCCCCTGCTGTCACTGGTGTCAAGGGTACCTGGAGAAAGTCAAATCAGGAACAGCCTCCAGGAACCCAAGCCACATGCAGCTGAGGCTGCCCACAGGTATGTGGATTCCAAATTTCCCTCAAATCCCCACTGACTGATCTGTTCAGAGTCTAACACACTTTGGGTGCCATGGAAATAATTCAGGTAATCCATTTCCAGATCAACACCAATATTGCATCCCATGCTCATCCTGACTCAGTTGTTAGATGGGAGATAGAGAGCCTTAAAAGATAATCTATTCAGAGATTTAAATATACTTTTTTCATTCTGCCCCTCTTGTTGAGCCCTATATAGAAGAGTGAGTGGAAAGGTTCTCTGCTCCCCCAGCCCTAACTAACTATTTGGGATATAAAAACTGAGTTGTTTTTCATTCTTCCCCCAACAGACTATTCATAAATGGAAATGGTGAAAGAAGCAGAAGCTGGTGCTCGAGAGTGGTTACCCAGCAGTGCCAGACAAACTCTTACCTTAGCATGTGCGTAGGTTATAAGGCTCACCCACTTTTCCAGGGGCTTGGACTTCAGCTGTTTCACTGGGATACAGTCATGGAGCGCCTTCTGCACACGTTCATTGTGAATGGACTCTCCAAACTCAATGTAACAGTATTTTGCACCTATCTCGACCAAATCCTCCTCCTGAAACAATTAATCCATTAAAAGAGGCCTAGAAAGATGTCACAAAGTCCAGATAGCCTTGTTCAACCTTGAAGCCAGTTTAAGAATGGGGTTTTCTCCATTTTTGTCTGCATAACTCTTGACAGTCATCCAGCATAAGGAGAGGTGAACTTCACACAATCATAGCATCAGAGAGATTATTAGCAAAGACATTTTAAAAGGACCCAAACTGTCCGTTTGGACATGCCTCCAGCTGCCTCATGAACTGAAAGTTGCAGAAAAAAAAATGTATTATTTACAGCCGCCAGTATGACAGCTGCCACAATCACCTGGACTGGAATTGTTCATTAAGAAGGGAAGGGTTGCTCACAGCCACTAGAAACTTCATTCTTCTTCCTGCTTTTTAATGTGGGAAATGTTAATATAGCTTTGTCTCTTTAGGAGGATGAATAAGGAGACCCACCTTCTCACAACGGTACTCTCCAAACCGGATGCCGCGAATGACTTGGTGGTAAATTAGATCAGTGCTGATAGGATCCTCCTGGGAGTTATGCCAGGGGGTGAAGATTTCCTTCCGGAAGTAGAGCCGCCAGGGCGCATTGCGTTCATGTGTGCCCCGCTCCTTCACCAGCTGTTCACACTGAGAGATGGCATCTAGAACATGATCTCGTCCCCCACCCAGTGACCAGACCTAGAATAAAGGGACACTGTATTTACTGGCATGCCTGCTTTGGATCTAAGTGAAGGACAACAAACCCAAAGCTCCTGGTCTCCTGACAGCAAGAAAAACTCTGAAAAGGTAAGCAGATGAATGTGCAAGTTGTACTTTGGTAAATGTGTGTATTTTTATGCACAGGGGTGGTATTGGGGAAAAATAAGTTGGAAGTTAAGACAAAGCAGCTCTGGTTTACAAACTTCTGTTTGTCCCCTTGTACTTTGTTTATCCCCTGTATATCCCCTTAAGTGCATGTGCAAGTGTTGCTGTAATCTAAACAAAAATGCTATCTCTGAATTAATTTCTTTGCTATTGGTGCCTAACTCTGAGCACCAAGATGTCATCCTGCTGTGTATGTCTGTTTTATTGCATTACTATAAAAAAAACCAAAGGGAAGGAGAGGCTAAAATGCCAGCATGTGAGCTAGCAGCAGCAGCCCTGGCAAGGACCTTGGCTTTCAATGCCACATAATAAAGGCTGCATCAGCAGCACTGTAACACAGGACAAGAAAGTTATGTGCAGCAGTGCAGGTGAGAAATATGTCTTTGAGCAGAGCTCCCTAGCATGTGAGAGCTGCTAGTTTCACCCTGCTCCAGCAGTTCTGCAGTGCTACATGCATGATGAGCAGGTGGGATCCCAGAACATGGTGGGGAGACCACAGTGCTGCACTGCTCATGTGTCCTGGTTTCAGCTGGGATAGAGTTAATTTTCTTCCTAGTAGCTGGCATAGTGCTGTGTTTTGGATTTAGTATGAGAATAATGTTGATAACACACTGATGTTTTAGTTGTTGCTAAGTAGTGTTTATACTAGTCAAGGACTCTTTAGCTTCCCATGCTCTGCCAGGTGCACAAGAAGCTGGGAGGGGGCACAGCCAGGACAGCTGACCCAAACTGACCAAAGGGGTATTCCATACCAAAGGGGTCATTCCATATGACGTCATGCTCAGTCTGGAGGCTGGGGGGAGCTGGCTGGCGGGCAGTGATCACTGCTCGGTGACTGACTGGCCATCAGTCAGTGGGTGGTGAGCAGTTGCATTGTGCATCACTTGTTTTGTATATTCTTTTATCATTATCATTATTACTTTCTCTTCCTCTTCTGTCCTATTAGACTGCCTTTATCTCAACCCATGGGTTTTAGGTTTTTTTCCAATTCTCTCCCCCATCCCACCAGGGCGGGGGAGGGTAAGTGAGCGGCTGTGTGGTGCTCAGTTGCTGACTGGGGTTAAACCACGACACCATGCATGGGAGCAGGGACGATAGTTAGTTATGTGACCTGGCAAAGGAAACCTCACAGGCCTGCAGCAGAAAAAAAGCCGGCAGAATAGGATTATCAGCTCCTTAGGTTCAGCTGGGATTCAAAACTGATTTTGCTTGAGCATAGGACTGGGACGGGTGTGCTTCCAGAAGTCAGAGGGAGTCCTCAGTGAGTCTGGGTGGACAGCAGCAACTCCACAGAAAGAGAAGGGAGCTTTCATTCTGTTTTTCTACACTTTACCTTATCAAATACAGCAATGTAGAGTGAAAAACCAAACACATCCTTCAGTTTGGTTTTATCTGCTATGAACTGACAAATCTCTTTGGCAATGGAAGCAGAGTCTGCAGGAACAGTGATGCTTTGGCCATTCATCAGGGTGACATTAAACACAATGGGTTTCTTCTGCTTTGTTGCCTGTAAGTCAGAGTCAAATGAGAGAAATTATGGGCAAACCTTACTTTTCTGTGAAGAATGAAGAAGGCATTTTAGATTTAAGAGCTCCACACACTGTACACCCTAGTCAATGATCTTTAAGTGAATCTCCAACCCCACACAGTTTCTTCAATGCATGGTGAGTCTTAAATACATATTACATCCCTGGAGCAGCACTGGAATGAAGTTCCCTCCTCCCCACAGCTCAGGGGAGTTGATTAGCACATAACAGTGCAGATTGGTAGACTTTTCATGAGCTGTATTTGGCCTGATGACTCTTGGGTACAGTCTTACATGCATCAGTGGAGACATGGCCTGCAGCAAGCATTTTGCCCAGGGAGGTGTGTGTTAGGCAATGGGGTCACTCAGATTTAGGAAGGAATTGAACTGAGGTCTTCACTTAAGGAGGGGTATGTGTGCATGTGTGTGTGTGACTCCTAGTTACTAGGGTGACATGTAAAGGAAGGGGGAGGGTGATGTAGCTCTATCGTACACACTTCCTCCCTCCATTTTAAAAGCATAAGCCCCGTTCAGTTCTTTCCACAAATGATGGTAAGAGCCTCCCTCAGGAGGTGGTCCTGGCCTGTGGCTCCTGTGTGAATGGAGGTATCTCCCTGCAAATCATGTGTTGCAGCTTTTAATTTATGTCCTCTGCTGGATTTAGGTTAACTGAATAACCAGGACAGGTGTATCTGAGAAGCTGCCCAGAACAAGGCAGCTAGTCTTCAATCCCCTTGTGCAATTGATTTCCATTATTGAATTTAGGAAGATCTGCTAGCACAGGTTAGTAAACACAATCCAGCATGAAATGACACAGATGAATATAAATTATCAAAAAGGGAGTTGCTACCTGAAGTTCCAGCCAGCTTGGAGGTTCAGTCCGTGCTCCATTGACATAGGTACGTCTCAGACGTTCAGCACAATATGGTGCATAGCCTGTCGGCCCATGGTGGATGAAATTCAACAGGTACTATAGGCACAGAGCATAAGAAGGAGTTAGGAAACACTAATCCTCGTAAAACACTAGAAACCTTCTGCAGCTGATAGAATAGATTACCCTGATCAGTTAGCTTACAGTTCACCAGAAAGTGTTAAAGGTTAGGGTTGAGATTAGTGTTTTGGAAAAGGAGGTTTGACACCAAGTTTTCCCTCATTCTGCAAAGTTTTTAGACTAAAGAGGAAGGCTTGTGTCAGTCTTTTTGCTATGTTTAACTATATGATGAATATTAGACAGTGTAGACTTTATTCTTATGATTAGAGCAAGAGTTAGTGTTTCCACTTGAAGAGCCTGAAGTCTTCTGACATTCTATATGGACCAAAGTGCTGGGAAGAGGGCTAATTGCAGGTTAGGGATGCTGATTATGGTTACTTGTAGTTTTACTAAGTTCTCTGGCAATATCAATAGTTGAAGTCCACAATTAAGATTGGATGTTGGAAGAGAAAGATTGCATAAACTGAGCTTTTGGAGTTTGTATGACTGTTATCTTGGATGACGTGGTATAAGTATGGACTTGTATTTACATACTTGTATTTAGTGCAAGCATGGGTCAGTCACCTGGTTATTTTAATGATTAAGAATATTCCTAGAGATAAGGTATGGATTTAGGAAAAGAGAACTAGAGGAAGTCAGGCCTTCTGTGAATTCTGCATGTTTCACAGACTTTGGATTAAGACTGGTGTCAGAATATGTCTATGGCTTTGTGTCCAGTTTGTTCCAAGTAGTGGCCACGTGGCAGAATTTATGATTAATCATTTGAGCTAGGGTATCAGTAAAGCAAGGCTGAAGATTCAGGGTTATCTATGGATTCTGCTTGCCTCTAAGACCTAGGAGGAAGGCTGGTGTCAAGTTGGAGCCACAAGTTGGTGGTTTTTTTGGTTTGTTTTTTTTTTTCTGTGATGAACTGGATTTATCATCCATTTCGATTTGGAAATTAACGTATTTAAGAAAATTATGAAAAAGCCCAAGTCTCTATTGGATTTTGTAGGGCTTGGAGATGTAGGGTAAGAACTGGTAAAATACAGGGACTGATTTTATACTGGATTCCTGAGTATATTTAATCACTAGGATTGTAACTGGAGAGAGCTTTTAAATGTTGGAAAGGCAGAACTGGAGAGGATAAAATTTGCCAGATTCTTTGCAGATTACAGATCTAAATAAGAGCTGCGATCATTGTATGGCATGTAATGAAAAAGAATTAAATGCGAATACAGCAATCATTTATTTAAATTCCCAGATAAGCATATGAGATGAGATAGCTTCTGCTAAAATCACAGCACCAGCTGCTATGGCAGCCAAACAGTTTATGTGGCTATTTGTATCAAAACATCAAAATACACAAGAAACCAGATCAGCTAAGGCATTTAAGCTGCTGTAGGAAAGGTTAGTAGTGTACCTTCACAAATGTGTCTGAAGGAGGAAAGCAACCAAGGCAAAGTGACAGAAGGATCCATCCTCGAGCATAGCTGCTCCTGTTGCTGTTTTCAGTGAGTTGTTTGCAAATCTGGCAATAAATCTCATCTCTGTAATAAAACATGTGAAAGCAACAGATAATGATTGATTCACTGTCTTGAACTGTCTTTGGCTACGTTTCCACTGTAAGCTTGGCACGATTGCAGCATGATGAAGTAGATTTGAGCCAGGTTTAACCACCTTAGCTAGGATACCACCTGTAATGTACCACAGGAAACAATGTGTCATTGGCTTTGGCAGGAAAAGGCTCAAGGTATACTTTAGTGCCCTTTGCCGCCCCTTGTTACTTGAGCAGTTCAAGTGCAATTCCCATGTTGGATTACGTCCAGTGACAAGCAGCAGGGGCTGTGCAGGGACAACAACTCCCAGGTCATCCAGCTGTGAAATGGTATTGCTGTCCCTCCACATGTGAAACTTGCTCTAAGCTCTCTACAGTATGTGGCTTGTATTTCATGGCTCTTGTCTGTCTGCTCATATGTGGATTTTGGGATAAGGGTAGGGGGACACCCTGCTTAATTTTATGTTTTTAGTAAACTTGGAGTGAGCCCTTGGGCAGGAATGGAGGAAAGGGTGCTTCAGAGTGAGCTTCTGAAAATGCAAGTGGCCTGCAGCAAGGACATATGGGAAACATGCAAAAATCTGCATACAAACAAAACTGCTATTTAAAAATCATCTTAAATTTTCTGGACTCTTGGAACACACATTTGGCAAGTCTGATGTGGGAGGACACGAGGTGGATGAGGGTTTTTCTTCTCAGATAGGACATATGATGAAACACAGACTGAGGGAGTAGATACTTAGCCTGTGGCTGTTATGATACATTGATTGAAGGCAATTTTTGCCAGCTGAGGATCTGCTTCTGGGAGCATCTTGACGGAAACAAAGCAGCTATGTAGAGAGGAATGCAGCCCACAACTGACGTCAAGGCAGGGTCTGTGCCTATGGGCTTTGTTACAGAAAAGTGTTGTATAAGCTAAAATGGGCTAAAATAGAGGAGAGAATTCATGGGGTCAGGTCAGGACCAACCAGCTTCTATCTCATCTTCGCACCATGCTTTGGCCTAAGGTCCAGCTTCACACCACTTGTAAACAGGATTTCTTCTTCTAGTGGCTGATATATTCAGCAAGCCAGGCCTTCAGCCTTCTCTGATTGGGGACATTGCTTGAGGGTTCAGAAACAGACTATTGGGAAACTGAGGTTACGAGCACCTCTCATACACCTAGCATACATTAACTCCATACTTCTTATTGTCTCTTCTGAATGTTTCTTCTTCCTCATACTAGGGCTATGTTCCACCTTCAGGTGTTATTGGGTTACAGCCCTGAACTCTACCCCATTGGGTATCTGTGGGGTATTCAGAAAGCCATGCCTGGAGGCAGCTGACCTAAACTATGAGATGAAGATACCAGAAAAGGCAGTAAGGGAGTAGTTCTCTGTCCCCTCTTATAAAGGTGAACCATCTTCCGAAGAGGTGTGTGGCCTACAATCTCAGTTCTAAGTGACTAGCTTGGACTTTCAGTCAGGAATCCCCAGAGATAAATGTGAGACATTTCCAGCATTTGGAAAATGCCCTGGGACTGTGGAGAGGGGATGCTGGATTTCCTTGATGTAATGGGTGCCTGGTCCTAGAAAGGAGGTACAAATTTCCTACCTGATAGCAGGACGCAGAATTGCATTGCCAATAATGAAGTGCACTTTTTCTAGGTTGGACATAGGTCTCTCAGAGATCGAGCTGTCCTCTTGGAAAGCCTCTTCTCCACTTCTCAGCTGGTCTGTCACCTGAAAGAAACCAAGCAGAACCCCAGAGTGCTCCAGAAACCTCTCCTCTTACCAGGCAGCTCTCCCAGAAATGAGAGACATTCCTTCTCTATCTTTCTGGCTAAAACTTTCTGCTCAGTGCAGGAGCAGTTAGGAACAGAACATATTTCCCCCTCTCTCAAGCTAACTCATAAAATGCAGTGTTGCAGCATTATTACTGGCTAGGAGAACTTTCTTGTACTGTCCTGTATAGCCCTAAGCACATGGTGGTTCTCAGTCTGCTCAGGGCTTTGGGTAAACTGTTCTGTAATATCAACAATTCTCAATAATAAATTGTTCCCTGTGTTCAGGGGTCACTCTTCAGCAGGAAGGGATGAAGTGAATCTGCCAGAGAATGAATGACAGCAGTGCACATGGGGATAGTTTAAAAGAAAACAGCGCACCAGGTATCCCGTACACAGGGCTGCACTGGCTTGGCAGTGGAACAAGTTCCCAGCTGTGAGGTTGCTGTCACATAACCTCTGTCAGGAGGTGAAGACAGGGTTCCAGGCAAAAACACTTAGAGGAAGCAATTTATTTCTACCTCTTACCTTCCCTGTCAACTTGGATGACCGTTTCAGCTTCAGGGAAGAGATCCCCTTGGAAATCTTGTTATCCTTTCTGCTTTCTCTCTACAACACACATTACCATTACAGGAAATTAGTTTAATGCACAGCAAGAATGATTCATTAAGGAAGGAAAGATGCTCAAATGGAGATGTTTTTGTTTTGTCCCCTCCTGCCAGAAGGAGCTGCGGTGTCCTTCCAGGACTGACGGGCCCTTTTGTACTTCTGGCATTTCAAGTACAGTAGCATGAAAGATTCCTTTGCTTCTCTCACTCTTGGTAGAACAGCACAGAAACCAAGGAAAGCAAATGAAAATACAAATATATCCTGCTCCTCTCACCATATTTGGGCTGTCATTCCTGAACTGGACCTGGTTTTTCCTGCCAAGTGTGTCATATATCTGTGTCATCACGGAGCCGCTCTTGGTCGTGGCATTCTTGGCAAACATTGCTGGCTCTGGCAGGTCCCCCATGAACCTCAGGATGATAACCCACACGACTAGAGAAGCCTGTAGTGGTAGAAAGCACAGTCAGAAACTGCCAAGAGAACCAATGGCCTCATGCTATTTCTCCCTGTTTATATGAGAGCATTTTCTTCCTTTATCCAGTCCAGGCTATTAAAATTCCTGTCTCCTCCCACCATTTACACCAGGAGTTTACTTTCATGTCAAACATGACAGCAACATCCACAACACTCTCATGCTAAAGGAAGAGGGTGCAGCTCTAGTGGGAATGTCAGATTTGCTCTGTGATGGTTGAGCCCTCACCATTCCCTTTATTGGTACCTTGCAGGTGTGCTGTGGCTGGGTGAGGTGGAGAAACCTTGGCTGAACTACACTCTGCATTTACCCACCTGGACAGACAAGCAGTAGAGTGAACTCTTCCAGGACCCCTCACGCCCAGAACTAGAAAGCCAAGTAATAGCAAAGTGTTTGCAGCATGGGATCCTCCACTCTGCAAGGCTGCTTAGCATCAAGAAAAACTCCCCTCCTCAATCCCCTTATAGTTCAACAGGAAAATTGGAGGCCTGGGCCTCCCCCTTCTGTCCTAACTCACAGACCAGCAACCCTAACAAGAGCAGAGAGGTGGGTGAGCTCTGATGCTTCTTCTCTCCAGTACATTTTTGACCCCCAAAAGTTATCTGGAGAAGTACAAACAAGCCTCAGAGTTCCCTCTTTAGGCAGACTAAAGGTGACCAGCTTGTGTTAGGCAGGTATCTGTGTGACGTGCCTGTCTGCAAAGTGCCAAAAAATGCTGATGGGAACTACTACTTTCATACAAGTGCTTAGGACTATCTGCTTGGCTCTAAAGTCTCTGGTTCCCAGGGCTGTGCCAGAGGCAGGGGGACCCAAGGATGAGGGGAGCTGTAGAAGCCAGGGCTGTGGAGGCAGCAGGTTCAACAACAACAAGAAGCAAGATACCAGGACATTGTCCTTGTCATCATGGTAGAGTAGTGGGTGCCGCAGCTGTCTCCGGATATGTGTATGCGTAGATGACCCCTGGAAATAAGTAGCTGCAAACTTTGGGAAGGTGTACTCTTCCAAGCCATCTGCTTCCTCTTCTAGCTCCACACTCATGGGAACCATGTCAAGGTCCACCTCGTACAGCTTGTTTGGCTTTGTTTCCAAGTCCTGTGCAGAACATGAGGAAGAAGCATATTTCCTTTCCCTGTACTCTGATATTCTTATTTTATGTTCTTTTTTTTTCTCTTTTCTTTTTTTCTCTTGGCCATAGGTCCTCCAGAATTTGGCTTTCCAGCTAACCCCAAAGCCATTTTCAGCTGCTACCAACAGATCATTGGGACTCAGAGCTTGTCCTTCTGAGACGCATCCATTCCATATGATCTTTCTGTCTTGGTCTTAGAATCATAGAATGCTTTGAGTTGGAAGGGACCTTCAGAGGTCATCTAGCCCAACCCCCCTGCAGTGAGCAGGGACAGCTTTAACCAGATCAGGTTGCTTAGAGCCCCAGCCAACCTGACCTTCAATGTTTCCAGGGATGGGACCTCCACCACCTCTCTGGGCAACCTGTTCTAGTGATTGACTCATTGTAAAAAATTTCTTCCTTATGTCTAGTCTAAATCTATTCTTCTTTAGTTTAAATCCATTAGTCCTTGTTCTGTCACAACAGGCCTTGCCAAAAAGATTGTCCACATCCTTCCTGTAGGCCCCCTTTAAGTACTGGAAGGCCACAATAAGGTCTCCTCACAGCCTTCTCTTCTTCAGGCTGAACAACCCCAACTCTCTCAGCCTGTCCTCGTAGGAGAGGTGCTCCAGCCCTCGGATCATTTTGGTGGCCCTCTTCTGGACCTGCTCCAACAGGTCCATGTCCTTCTTGTGCTGAGGGCCCCAGAGCTGGAGCAAGAACATTGCTGATGGAAAATCCAGGTGCTATCTCATTGCTCACATCCTGCGCTAACCCATACCATTCTTCTCTGCCTACCTCTCCCTACAGGATTCCATCCTCCACAGCTGTCAGGACCAGTATATCTCAAATTTTGTTTTTAAGAATATGGGGGTTGGGCCATGAACTTCCAGCTTGTTTCAGCTGGAAAATCACCAAGCACTGTCAGCAGAACATGTGGTTTGTGCCAAAATGCAGAGGATGGCAGTATTTGGTAAGGGTCTGCCTGGACAAAGTAGCTTTTGAAGACGCATAGTCCCCAAACTGCATGTGACCAAAAACTTTTGGGAACTGCCTCTGAAAGCAGATCCCAAAGAGAATGTCTGGATGACTAATTTGGGTGATTTTTTCACTGTACAGAAAAGAAGTTCATTAAACAGAATTGACCACCCATGGAATTCCAACAAAGTCAATGGACTTACATGAGGGATGAACATAACCCATTACCAGTCTGCAGCTCTGTACCTCAAAACCCAGAGGGGCCTGTCCTTCCTGGCCTCCGATCATAGAAGGTAAAAACCCAAAAATTTTGTCCACCATTTCTTGGTCGCTGATAACATCATGATTTGTTGGTTTATTGGCAAGAGCATTCCTCCTTTGTCTTGTTTCTGCCTCCTCTCTCTCCAGAATAGCCAGGTGTTCCTTTAAACATAGAAGCTGGTTAGGCATAACTGGACCATCATTCTGCTAGAATGAATGGGTGCAAGGACGAAATACTATTACAAAGGTGTTATGACAGTGAGGTCCAGCTCTGCTAGTGCAGTGTTGGAATGTAAAGTCAAATGTTGCTTATGCTAAGCAGTCACAAAGACCTAGCCCATCAAGCAGTAGGGCTTTGCTCTTACAGCTGTCCTTATTAAGTCTGTTGGCCTATTGGTAATGATGTGCAATTTTTCAAGAATTTTATCAACAAGAGATAATACAGGGAAAACACAGAATTCCTAACATAAGAAAAACCACACATTATTTAAAATTTACAAATGTTTTGTGTCAGGGGGCTGTAATAGCATTGTGCATATTTGGCTAAAGTGCCAGCTCATACTGCAAACAGAAATGTGCATATGTTTGCCTTGTCCCATTTCTGTAAGTAGGTTTACAACTATGTCTGCTTTTCATTAAAATATAGCAGTGCTCAGATCTTTGAGCAAGTCCACAGGTGTGAGCTGGGCAAGCCATCTTGTCAGCCAAGGAACATAGCATTCAGTGTTCCTCTGCCAACATACTTACCTTCTCTAATCTCATAGCTTCTTCCCTTGCTTTCACTGGTCCAAGGACTTGCATGAGACGTTTCTCTTCTTCCAAGCAGATATTTCTGGCTTCCAGCTTGCACTTGTTCTGTGGACAAGAGGACCATTCTATGACTGTTTCCACAACTGCTGAGCTGGCTCTCTTCTGCCATTAACAAGCTGTCCACACCAGGACTTTATCCTAACATGGACTCCGTTCCAGATTTGGCATTTTAGGAAACAAGCCACAGGCAGAAATCTGCAAACTGGCTTCATCCTGTTTGTACAGCATTAATACAGAAAGGAAATCACAGAAAGGCCTCCCATGTGCTGTGGACCGCTAAGGTAGTAAGTGCAGGATTTTCTCTGGCAGTGCATATCAAGGACACTGCATTAGGATTCCCTTTTGAATGGATCCCTAAGTGGTATTATCAGGCCTTGCTGTAGAAATTGAGCTTCCCTTGCAGGAGTGACTGATAGACATGCACATCTTATCTTTTTTCCTCCCTTCTGTCAAAAACATTCCAGCTCTGTCAGTGAAGTTTTGATCGGTGATAATGAACACAGAAAGCAAACGTAAACAAGATTGTCTGCTTAAAACTCTGCTTTCATACTTGACAAAAACTCAAAATAAAATATTCCAAAATAAATATCCACATCCAGTGCTATGCTATGGCAACACTTGCTGGTCATTAAATCTCTATCAGAACTTCATAGAAACAATATGTTCACAAGGTATCTGTGAGCATACCTCCCTCTTCATCCTCTGGTAGATTTGGCGAGCAAACATGCCCCTTGCGTATGCCTGTATAACACATACAGCTTTCTTCTGCTCTGCTATCTTTTGACGCATTAGATAACCACGGCACATGGCTTGAAGCCTGATGATATGAGCCCGGGTTGCTTCATACTGTTTAGCAAGCTGTCGGCTCCGGTAGAGGGCCTGCAGGCGCCCAAAACCCAGCATAACCTGTAGGAGGTGGAGGAAAAGAAGTTGTTATGGTTCAAACCATTGAGACTGGGAGTAAGTTGGGATGAGTAGAAGATAACAAAATGCAGTAACTGGATAAAGACCTGGAAGGGGCTAATGCAATACTGCCTTTTATGCTTTATTTTCTTCCAGTAATAGGCTTTTAAAACTAGATTATATAGAGTTGTTTTGGGGACCTGTTCTAGGGAGTGGCTCCAGGAAGTGACAATGATAGCCTGGGATTATGACAAGGGAAGGAAGAGAGCAGAAATGAAGCCAAGTGAATGGAAAAAAAAAAAAAAGGCATGTCCTTGGAGAGATGGGTATGACAATCCCAAGAGAAGCAGCAGAGGAGGATGGGGCAGAGTGCAGGACAACAGCCTGGCTCTTCCAACAGCAGTTGCATCACTGATGCAGAATAGAAAATGTTTCTGACTGAAACTGTCAGTTTCTCCTCCTGCTCCTTGCAAATGGGATGTATGGGATATATTAATAATAATTCCTGCCACACAAATACACAATATGTAAGTGCCCCTGATACGGTGTAGCTTTCCTCACCCAGAAAACCCACCATCTATAGAAAATCAGCCAATATTTTTAATAATGTGAGATTGTTGTAATGATTTTTCTGGTAATTTTTTACAGATTCCCAGTTTTCCTGTAACAGTTGTGAAAGACACTTTGCTCATAGCATGGTGGTGATGCACAAATGCTAGCCTTGGACTCCTGACTAGAAGGGTGGAATCTCTCATATGTCAGGTCACCAGAGCCAGGCCTGCCAGAGGTTAGTTGGGTTACTATTTCACCAGAAAGCAGAAATGTCACAGGTTCAGCAAGCCCTGAGTTCCCAGAGCCCTCCTTAGACTTTACATCCTTCTTTCCACCCTACCATCTTGCCTCTCCTCCCTTCTGTTGTGAATATCTTAATTCCTAATACTCCACTCAGTCTGACAGGGCATGGTATATAAACACACACACACACAAATATATTTTTGTGTGTGTGTGTTTATATATATAATATATGTGTGTGTTTTATATATAATATA